TCTCTCACCCCCCGGTAGGAGCCGTCTCTCACCCCCCGGTAGGAGCCGTCTCTCACCCCCAGTAGGAGCCGTCTCTCACCCCCAGTAGGAGCCGTCTCTCACCCCCCAGTAGGAGCCGTCTCTCACCCCCCGGTAGGAGCCGTCTCTCACCCCCCGGTAGGAGCCGTCTCTCACCCCCCGGTAGGAGCCGTCTCTCACCCCCCGGTAGGAGCCGTCTCTCACCCCCCGGTAGGAGCCGTCTCTCACCCCCCGGTAGGAGCCGTCTCTCACCCCCCGGTAGGAGCCGTCTCTCACCCCCAGTAGGAGCCGTCTCTCACCCCCCAGTAGGAGCCGTCTCTCACCCCCCAGTAGGAGCCGTCTCTCGCCCCCAGTAGGAGCCGTCTCTCACCCCCAGTAGGAGCCGTCTCTCACCCCCAGTAGGAGCGTCTCTCACAACACCCACACGTCCGGCACCACCAGGGACGCCGGGCCAGAAAACGTTATAATTATACTAGTGAGATAATCTGAGGTTTTAAGACAGAAAATTACTGAAAAATTGGATTATTTGACTCTTACTTTATTACATTTGTGATGAGTATAATCATACGTTCCTTACAAGATCAGAAATTCTTACATTTCCTCTAGAGGTTGAGCATCCTCTATGGCCGCCTCTTCAATAATGAAAGACAATTACAAATCAACTATAATTGACGCCAGTTCATCCTCGTCAATAAAGGGAAAATGCTCTTTAACGCAGCCACCAACCCCATGTTTATGAAAGAAAACGGTTTACATCCGCAACCCGTCGTCAGACCAAGTCCATTCCATCCAGCGATCGACCCATAAGACTCATTCATCAATTTTAACATGCTGTTCATGCAAAATAGTTACTTCCTATCCCACCCTCTGTCCTTGTAAAGACACCACTAATAACTAATAGCACAAACACCAACCCTAGCACCATCTACCCCCTCCCCCACCCACCCCATGCTTCCCCTCATATAGATCTACTTGCCAAACTCCGTCAAGTACCATTAATCGGTAAGTTAAAATAAAAAAAAAGAGGGATCGACTAAACTCCGTTTCTCTCTCTCTTACATTTCCCCGCAGAGGAGAAAGTTTGAGTGGGAGGGAATTAGTGTGGTGTAGGAGGGTGTGTTCTGGCCGAGTTCACTCCTGAATAACCCCGCAGGTGCTCGGAGGGTGCTCGGCCCCCGGGGGGAAAAGGGAGAACCCGAGAGATGGAGGGTGTTTTACAAGCCGGGAACCGTCTCTCCTTAGCCACCAGGCAGCAAAAATGGCGCGCTCGGCACTCTTCGCTCCACCCTAAATAATTTAATTCTAAATTGCGTTGTCTGTGTCGTGGAATTTTCAAGTGAGGACTTGTTTTACTTCTCTGTGGGTCGTTCTTTCTCGTCCTCCCCCTTACTGGAGGCGAGTCTCGTGTGTGTGTTCATTTGATTTGATTGTTGCCGCCGGAGGCGGCTAGTTTATTGTGCACCCCATACCCATCCTGTGAGCGGTAGCGCAAAAAGCATTACAGAAGGCACAATAGGTCTTTATCAGACCTCAACGGAGATTATTTCATAAACAATTTCATCTATCCTTTACACCTTATAATTACAATGTCAGCTAGTTACAGAGATTGTTCTATTTCAAGAGCTATATATTTACAGAAGTAAATTGTATATATCTATTGTATAATGTATTATATAAATTGTATAATGTATGTATATAAATTGTATAATGTATGTATATAAATTGTATAATGTATGTATATAAATTGTATAATGTATGTATATATTTATTGTATAATGTATTATATAAATTGTATAATGTATGTATATATTTATTGTATAATGTATGTATATATTTATTGTATAATGTATTATATAAATTGTATAATGTATGTATATATTTATTGTATAATGTATTATATAAATTGTATAATGTATGTATATATTTACAGTAAGTAAATATAAAATTGTAAATAGTAAATTGTTCATGTTCTTAGTTACCCGGGCAGCTGGCCACCTCGTTCTTTGTAGACCATTGATTTTGTTATTGTTACTGCCAGACGGGGGCCAGTTTATTGTGCACCCTATACTCATCTTGTGAGCGGTAGCGCAAAAAAGATTAGAGGGCACAAAAGGTTTTTATCAGACCTCAACGGAGATAATTACATTGACAATTACATCCTTCCTGCACATTTTGTAATTAGTGTCAGTTGGGTACAGAGATTTTTAATTTCAGTATCTATGTAGTTACAGTTAATTATTATACATTAATAGTAGGTCTTTTCACTAATACATAACTGTTTTCGCTGCGTGGGGTATTACAGGATCATAACAAAGCTGGTGTTCAGTATTATTATATCAACTTGCAAGGTCGAGGCCTAATTACTGACTTAAGTTATTTTCAGTTGTGCTGCCATCGGGCTGATGAGCAATAACAGCACTTCCTGCCGTCCCTGTAGATGTATTAGGTGACTCCTCAGTGTATATGGTCTTTGTGATGTATGTTTGTAGAGTGTATGTTCTTGGGTGCCTTAATTTAGCAGCAAACTGCGCATGATGGTTGTTTGTGATTAGTTTCTTAGTGGGGAATGTAGGCGTCAGGATGTCAAAGGGTACTATCCGCCAGGGTGGCAGGAAGTGCTGTACTCTTTTATCGTTACGTATATCGTACAGGTACAACATTTTAATATGAGTGGCTGTTCTTCGAATCCACATGGAATCACTAGTTCACTGCTGAGGTGTGTGTGCTCGTGAGGTCAAGTGAATGTACCTTTCCAGTTCCCACCCAGTTCGTACACCATCTCTCCGAGATATGAATCTTCCCTTCCGGACAGTGGATATGAGACAGACTAAGTATTCATCTCTAGGAAAACGCCGTGAGGTCCTGTTGAGTCACAGCGCCCTATTTCCTCTAGTTTTTGTTAGACATTCGAGACGAGATATGCAATGCCTAAGCCAAAGATTAGAAGAATATTATCTTTTCCGGACACTAACGACCTCGTTGTTAAGGTGCCAGACCAACCCGACCTCTTGAAAATAACGTCACTTTTGGCTCCTATGTGCGCTATGGCCAAATTTGAAACGAAATCGACTCACAAAAGTGACGTACTGTTCCGTTTTCTGTTTGAGTCGTCCGGCCTACTCGGTAAGGTTAGAAGAGGAAACTTTCAATTAACGTTTTTCATAACATTTTGAAAGTTTGAGAATTTCCTGCCCACCTAACCTATCAGACGACCCTTAACTTACTGTTGTTGAAAAAAAAAAATCCAAATTTTTTTTCATTTTTTTTTCATTTTCAAATTACGTCCACTTTCGGCCATACGGGTAAACGGCCAAGAGCGACGTTATTTTTAAGAGGACAGGTTGCCAGAGAAGTGTTGTTTTCCATCGCACTTTAGTTGGGTGGGTTGTGGCACCTGGCCGCGGCCAGTGGCTGCTGGCGTGTGGCTCGTCCAGTATTGTTCTCTCTAGTATTGTTGGAATTATATCTCCTTTATATAGTCCACGAAACCTTGGCAACCCCAGAGATACCTTGGCCACCCCATGACCCTGGCCACCCCATGACCCTGGCCACCCTATGACCCTGGCCACCCCATGACCCCAGGCCACCCCATGACCCCAGGCCACCCCAAGACCCCAGGCCACCCCATGACCCTGGCCACCCCCATGACCCTGGCCACACCATGACCCTGGCCACACCATGACCCTGGCCACACCATGACCCTGGCCACCCCATGACCCTGGCCACCCCATGACCCTGGCCACGCCATGACCCTGGCCACACCATGACCCTGGCCACCCCATGACCCTGGCCACCTCATGACCCTGGCCACCCCATGACCCTGGTCACCCCATGACCCTGGCCACCCCATGACCCTGGCCACCCCATGACCCTGGCCACCCCATGACCCAGGCCACCCCATGACCCAGGCCACCCCATGACCCTGGTCACCCCATGACCCTGGCCACCCCATGACCCTGGCCACCCCATGACCCTGGCCACCCCATGACCCTGGCCACCCCATGACCCTGGCCACCCCATGACCCTGGTCACCCCCATGACCCAGGCCACCCCATGACCCTGGCCACCCCATGACCCTGGCCACCCCATGACCCTGGCCACCCCATGACCCTGGCCACCCCATGACCCAGGCCACCCCATGACCCTGGCCACCCCATAAACCTGACCTTGCCAGTATCTAGCCACAGGGGTTGTGAAGTGGTGTGTATAATTGCCTTCATAGTGCTTGTGGAAAACAAACTGTGCTTTTATGAGGGAGGGAGGGAGGGAGGTAGGTTACTTACCTATCAGTAGTTACATATCAATGTCTACTGGGGAGTGAGATCTAGCTCTGTATGCCCTGTCTTCTGGTCTTATACCTGTTGCGTTTCAACTTAACTACTCTAACTTTCAAATCCTTTGTCGAATCTGGCCTTACAGTAAAGTTGTGGATGGAGGTGGCTTCCACAGCGTATTCATATTGAACAGTCCTACAGTGTTAACTACCCGTACACGGTACCAGTACTTTGTTGCTTCCCTTCGGCTCGTTTGGGCTTCCAGCTGCATCCTGTGTCCTCTTGGCCCGCTCTCTCTCACTCTGCAGAGGCTATCCTTATCCACCTTATCTATTCTTCTCAGTATCTTGTGTCCGTAGCTTAGCCGTCTTGGCTCTGGCACCAGTCTAGTCCCAAACCTTTGTACTTCTTGTATTTCATGCTTCACAAGGTGCGGGTTCCATACCTGTGATGCGTATTCCAGTATTGTTCGAACAATTGTGTAGTTGACTTTGAAGGAATTCTGATTCAGGTTCCTAGATGATCTTATATTTATCAGCGTCCAATATGCTGCTGATGTTATCCTATTTGTGTGTGCCTCCGGTGTGAGTGTCGGAATTATATCGTCTCCCAGATCCTTCTCTGTTTCTGAATCCTGTAGCTGCCTTTCCCGTATGGTGTAGATACCTTCTCGTCTCGTCTCTCCCTATCCCATCTTCATTACCTTACACTTGTTGGGGGGTTGAATTCCAGCAGCCATATGTCGGACAATTCCTGGAATGTGTCAACTTCCTCCTGTAACTTTATGCAGTCCTCATCCATTTTCACGTTCCTCATCAGCTTTGCATCATCTGCAAACATTGACATCACTCCCTTGGGCAGGTCGTTCACATAAATTAGGAGCAGGGGAGGGAGGGAGAGGGAGGGGTGCGTGTGGGGCCTAACACACTGTAATTACTACTTCCTGGAAGGTCGCTCAATTCGTTTTAACAATCGCCAGAAGTCGTTGGATGGCGCTGGTAGTCTCGATTGTGCCACTTCCAGAGGTCGTGTGTCGCAGAGGGTCGTTGTGTGCACGGGATCACCGCTCCTGACGTCGTGCGTCGTACAGGCTCGTTTATGATGCGGTCGTTGTTGGTTCCCCCCGTGTTGTCTACCTTTTGCTTCTATTTGTTGCACCTACACAGCCCCCCGGGGGGTGTCACCCACCTACACAACCACCAGGGGGTGTCACCCACCTACACAGCCATCAGTGGGTGTCACCCATTAACATGTCTTGCCAACGAGGTAGAGCATAGCAGCTTATCTTCACTTGGGTCACCTATCCTCACCTGGGTCACCTATCCTCACCTGGGTCACCTATCCTCACCTGGGTCACCTATCCTCACCTGGGTCACCTATCCTCACCTGGGTCACCTATCCTCACCTGGGTCACCTATCCTCACCTGGGTCACCTATCCTCACCTGGGTCACCTATCCTCACCTGGGTCACCTATCCTCACCTGGGTCACCTATCCTCACTTGGGTCACCTATCCTCACCTGGGTCACCTATCCTCACCTGGGTCACCTATCCTCACCTGGGTCACCTATCCTCACCTGGGTCACCTATCCTCACCTGGGTCACCTATCCTCACTTGGGTCACCTATCCTCACCTGGGTCACCTATCCTCACCTGGGTCACCTATCCTCACCTGGGTCACCTATCCTCACCTGGGTCACCTATCCTCACCTGGGTCACCTATCCTCACTTGGGTCTGGAACTCAGTACTCACACACGTCTGTTTGGAATAATTATAACACAATAACACACATAATGTAAAAATATAACACCAAATTGTTATATTCTCGAAATATATTAACTGCGTATATCAAAGATATTTGCGCATTAAATATTTCTATGTGAGTGTGATGAGTGACACACACACACACACACACACACACACACACACACACACACAAAGGGGAAAGGGGAATTATGAACAGATGAGAAGTTTCCTAAGTGAAATACCTTGGGACACCGACCTCAGAGACAAGTCTGTACAGGGTATGATGGACTATGTTACCCAAAAGTGTCAGGAGGCAGTAAACAGGTTCATCCCGGCCCAAAGGGAAAAATCCGAGAAGCAACAAAAGAATCCATGGTATAATAGGGCATGTATGGAAGCGAAGAAACTGAACAAGAAGGCGTGGAGGAACTTCCGGAATAACAGAACACCAGAAAGCAGGGAGAGATACCAGAGAACCAGGAATGAGTACGTCAGGGTGAGAAGAGAAGCAGAGAAAATTTTTGAAAATGATATAGCAAACAAAGCCAAGACCGAACCAAAGCTACTCCACAGGTGGGTGTGTGAAGAGAGGTGTGTGAAGAACTCAACAAGAGGTTCCAGGAGGTCTTCACAATAGAACAGGGTGAGGTCACTGTGCTAGGAGAAAGGGAGGTAAACCAGGCGGCCTTGGAGGAGTTCGAAATTACGAGAGAGGAGGTCAAGAGACACCTGCTGGATCTGGATGTTAGAAAGGCGGTTGGTCCAGATGGGATCTCACCATGGGTACTGAAAGAGTGTGCAGAGGCACTTTGCTTGCCACTCTCCATAATGTATAGTAAATCACTAGAGACGGGAGACCTACCAGAAATATGGAAGACGGCGAATGTGGTCCCAATATACAAAAAGGGCGACAGACAAGAGGCACTGAACTACAGGCCAGTGTCCTTGACTTGTATACCATGCAAGGTGATGGAGAAGATCGTGAGAAAAAACCTGGTAACACATCTGGAGAGAAGGGACTTCGTGACAAATCGCCAACATGGATTCAGGGAGGGTAAATCTTGCCTTACAGGCTTGATAGAATTCTACGATCAGGTGACACAGATTAAGCAAGAAAGAGAGGGCTGGGCGGACTGCATTTTCTTGGATTGTCGGAAAGCCTTTGACGCAGTACCGCATAAGAGGCTGGTACATAAGCTGGAGAGACAGGCAGGTGTAGCTGGTAAGGTGCTCCAGTGGATAAGGGAGTATCTAAGCAATAGGAAGCAGAGAGTTACGGTGAGGGGTGAGACCTCCGATTGGCGTGAAGTCACCAGTGGAGTCCCACAGGGCTCTGTACTCGGTCCTATCTTGTTTCTGATATATGTAAATGATCTCCCGGAGGGTATCGATTCATTTCTCTCAATGTTTGCGGACGATGCTAAAATTATGAGAAGGATTAAAACAGAAGAGGACTGTTTGAGGCTTCAAGAAGACCTAGACAAGCTGAAGGAATGGTCGAACAAATGGTTGTTAGAGTTTAACCCAACCAAATGTAATGTAATGAAGATAGGTGTAGGGAGCAGGAGGCCAGATACAAGGTATCATCTGGAGAGGAAATTCTTCAGGAGTCAGAGAAGGAAAAAGACTTGGGGGTTGATATCACGCCAGACCTGTCTCCTGCAGCACATATCAAGCGGATAACATCAGCGGCATATGCCAGGCTGGCCAACATACGAACGGCATTCAGAAACTTGTGTAAAGAATCATTCAAAACTTTGTATACCACATATGTCAGGCCAATCCTGGAGTATGCAGCCCCAGCATGGAGTCCATATCTAGTCAAGGATAAGACTAAACTGGAAAAGGTTCAAAGGTTTGCCACCAGACTAGTACCCGAGCTGAGAGGTATGAGCTACGAGGAGAGACTACGGGAATTAAACCTCACTTCGCTGGAAGACAGAAGAGTTAGGGGGGACATGATCACCACATTCAAGATTCTGAAGGGGATTGATAGGGTAGATAAAGACAGTCTATTTAACACAAGGGGAACACGCACAAGGGGACACAGGTGGAAACTGAGTGCCCAAATGAGCCACAGAGATATTAGAAAGAACTTTTTTAGTGTCAGAGTGGTTGACAAATGGAATGCATTAGGGGGTGATGTGGTGGAGGCTGACTCCATACACAGTTTCAAGTGTAGATATGACAGAGCCCGATAGGCTCAGGAATCTGTACACCTGTTGATTGACGGTTGAGAGGCGGGACCAAAGAGCCAGAGCTCAACCCCCGCAAACACAACTAGGTGAGTACAACTAGGTGAGTACACACACTTTACACCTCCCGGCTGAGCATGATGCAAGATGCAGTCTTGCATCTTCGCCTTTGAAGGAACGATCAGGGAAGATAAATGTTGCCTTAAATGGTCAGAACGATGACGCGCCTCGGGGGACACGCCCCTCTCATCCTGGAAGATGACTGGAAGACACCATTACCACCCGCCCTCACAGTCTTCCACCCTGGAAGATGACTGGAAGACGCCATTACCACCCGCCCTCACAGTCTTCCACCCTGGAAGATGACTGGAAGATGACTGGAAGACGCCATTACCACCCGCCCTCACAATCTTCCACCCGGGAAGATGACTGGAAGATGACTGGAAGACACCATTAACACCCGCCCTCACAGACTGGAAGATGACTGGAAGACACCATTAACACCCGCCCTCATAGTCTTCCACCCTGGAAGATGACTGGAAGATGACTGGAAGACACCATTAACACCCGCCCTCACAGTCTTCCACCCTGGAAGATGATTGGAAGATGACTGGAAGACACCATTAACACCCGCCCTCACAGTCTTCCACCCTGGAAGATGATTGGAAGATGACTGGAAGACACCATTAACACCCGCCCTCACAGTCTTCCACCCTGGAAGATGATTGGAAGATGACTGGAAGACACCATTAACACCCGCCCTCACAGTCTTCCACCCTGGAAGATGACTGGAAGATGACTGGAAGACACCATTAACACCCGCCCTCACAGTCTTCCACCCTGGAAGATGATTGGAAGATGACTGGAAGACACCATTAACACCCGCCCTCACAGTCTTCCACCCTGGAAGATGATTGGAAGATGACTGGAAGACACCATTAACACCCGCCCTCACAGTCTTCCACCCTGGAAGATGATTGGAAGATGACTGGAAGACACCATTAACACCCGCCCTCACAGTCTTCCACCCTGGAAGATGATTGGAAGATGACTGGAAGACACCATTAACACCCGCCCTCACAGTCTTCCACCCTGGAAGATGATTGGAAGATGACTGGAAGACACCATTAACACCCGCCCTCACAGTCTTCCACCCTGGAAGATGATTGGAAGATGACTGGAAGACACCATTAACACCCGCCCTCACAGTCTTCCACCCTGGAAGATGATTGGAAGATGACTGGAAGACACCATTAACACCCGCCCTCACAGTCTTCCACCCTGGAAGATGATTGGAAGATGACTGGAAGACACCATTAACACCCGCCCTCACAGTCTTCCACCCTGGAAGATGACTGGAAGATGACTGGAAGACACCATTAACACCCGCCCTCACAGTCTTCCACCCTGGAAGAAATATAACATTACTAACGTGAAGAAGCTTAAGGTGGGTGAGAGAGTACCGCTCAGGAAGGAAGCCGAGGGTTACAGTGAGAGCCGAGACATCGGAGCAGAGAGAAGCTACGAGTGGAGTACCACAAGGCTCGGTTCTCAGGCCCATCCTGTTTCTAATACATCAACGACCTGCAGGAAATTGGCTCCTTCATACGAGTGTTTGCAGAAGATGCAAAACTGATGATAAGTGTCACGACAGAGATTGTGATGTCCAAATCAGCAAACGGATTTGGACACACACCAGAAGTGGTCTGAAAAAATAGCTGCTGTAATTGAACCAATCCAATGCAAAATGATATGGATTGGAAGATGAGTGTGAAGATCAGTTCATCAGTATTGGAAACACAGATTCTTTAATCATAAAAGGAGAAAGACCTTTGATTGAGCATAACACGAAATCTAACGTGTGGTTATATTGAGGTTATCTTGAGATGATTTCGAGGCTTAGTG